CCAGCCTGTGTTTGAAGTTAGGCTTCTAATGCTCTGATTCTCCCATTTGAATTCCTAAGGGAGATCTCCTGCTGGAAGCCATCCCCCTGCACTTCCCTGTGCCCCTCTGCCAGCCTCTGGGTGTGCACGTGTTCACTGGCTATGGCTCAGCCAGCTGACATTAGGCTTGTAAGCTATAGGAAATCAATTATATCCCTGATCTATGAGAACAAAGCTCCATCCCTGAGCCCTCTTCTCTCCTGGAAGCAACAGAAAGGCTGGTCAGCACTAACTTGAACACTGGCTTTTGGCCCTTCAGCAGCAGCCCCCAGGAGCCAAGTCAAGCAGAGGGACTGTCTTGTGTGTTTGACACTGATGATTGGAGATCCCCATCCCCAAGCACCCAGTCAAACTGAAGGAGCTGTGGCAGGCCCATTGCAGCAGAAAGACCAGCTTGATGTGTCTGACACAGGGGTTTGACCAAAGGCCTTGCACACTTGGCTTTCTGACCCTCGGCACCCGCGGGCATCGCCCGTTCCCGGCTCGTGCCGCGAGTGAGAGCTCGGGCAGAGCCACTTGGCTGAACACACCCCCCAGAGCTGGGGCTGTCCTGAGCTGCACTGCCACGGCCCTCAGCAGCAAAAGAACATGGCACTCCTCCCTCAGCTGCTTCAGCTGAACATCATGTCCCCAGACCTGGCCAACAGCATCCCAGCAGTGCATAACTGCCTGAACTAGACTCAGCTTCATTCAGTGGAAAAGTTAATAACAGAGAACAAAATTCTAACAAAATTAGTATTTTTTATGTGCTTGAGAAAGTGAGCATCTCTTTAGCTGTCAGCTCAATTATTCTGTTAGGAATTAATTTGTTGATGTTTCCACAACTACAGCTTTCCAAAGCCCACACAAGAGCAAATTACATGGGGTGGGAGAAAAAGGGGGAAAAGGTTTTGTTTTATTGAGATTAATTATAGTAGGGCTCAACAATTGGGAAATATGGAGTGTACAAAGACTGCTGCAAAGTGATAACCATTAACATGTTATTCTGTAGAACTTCTAGATACTGTGAATATTTTCCAGCTGAAATCCATCCAAGTTTTCTTCTATCCATGGTTAGTCCAGGAACATTAATGATGAAAATCTAGACAGCATTACAGTGTGAACTATTAGATGTACACTGATGATACTTGATTTTATATTGCCTTTGGCTGAGTCAGGTCATAGAATTTCAATTATCTGAATTCTGGCCTGCATCTGCTGTTGAATGAATAAACAGTAAATCAAACTTAAGACTTTGTTACGGAGTTGAAAGTCTGTTTTGCTCCAGACCTAGTATATACCACAAGATGCAATCAAATACATTATTATCTGTCAAGCATCCAAAAATGAACTAAATGACTCATAAAAGCAATAAATAAGACATGGTCTCTGCCCCTGAAATACCTTACATTGTAAAATTAAAACAAGCCTCCCAGAAAGTTCGAATGCTGGGGAACTAAATTAGTCCTCCAATGGAAAGGGAGGGCAGAGGTTACACAATATGATAAAATAGTTTTTCCTTAGATGAAGGTGTGACTCCTGCCCCCCTTCCAGTGTAACTGTCAGATCCAGGAGGTTGCTGCAGGACACCCCCGAGTCTGGATCTGTTCCATTTGCCAGCCAGCAATCCCTGGGTATCTCCGGCAAATCAGTGCTAATCTCTCCTCTAACTACAGCTCTCACACAAATAACTCAATACGATTTCAAAAGCTCTACCTTTAAAGCAAAAAAAAAATCCTAGTTCTGTGCAGCAATAACCAAAAATCACCATTTCAGAGCTGGCATCCTTCTGATTTGCAATAGAGCCTAATAAAATCCTGGCTCAGGGAGAAGGGAAGGATCCTCCTACATCCCAGCAAGCCCAGCCTGACTGACAGCAGCTGCTCCTGAGATCTTTTGCAGAAGGCAGAGTGTATTTCAAGAACACATCTAAACACCCAAACACAGCTGCATATACACAGGACCATACACACGTGAAAAGAAAAATATTAAATAATTACAGAAATCTCCATTATACTTACTGCCTATGTTTTGCAGTTAAGTACTAAACCGATTATATTTCAAATATACACGGATTTAGTTTTCATTAGAAAGCTCCAGTAGGCATAACATAAAGACACTTTCACACTTTGTTAGTGAAGACCTGCTGAAATTAATGACATTGAAAACTGTAGCTGTTTGGACAATACCAGGCACAAAGCTTCAAACTTCTGGTGGATTATGATAACCAAGGAGTCCTACAGTGACAGTGCAAACTACCCCTGCTGGTGGTGACTTTTCTTTTATAAAATTAGACCTTCAGCACATGACAAGTAAATTGAATATTAAATGGCTCACGGTACCAATGAAGAGTATCAATAACTACTCTGAAACAGAATCAAATAAAATTGTGCACTGCATTTTATGAAGTCTGAAACTCTCTCTACTGCCAAACCATTTTTACATGTATAGATATTTTTAAACAAGGTTTAAAGTTTTCTGAGAACTGTTCTTTATCCAGGACTCGTATGGGAAAATGTGAAGAATAACTGTTCACGTTGTTGTCTTACCCCCATTGTTCAAGCCCTGCCATAGACCTCCTCTGCTATGACCTGCCCGAAGTCTTTCCTCATGGCAAAATCTGATGTCCCCACACACCTCTCACCATTATGCAGGTGTGCCTACAATGAAGTTGCTATTTTTTGTGATTCCAGAGCCAAAGAGTCAGTGTAATCTGCCTACAGATACAAACCTTCCACAATATTGGTTTTGGTATTAGGACCGACTTTTCTTGAGAACACACTTTTTAAAGTGAGAAGTGTCCACTGAGATTAGATCCAATATATTCATTTTGTTAACGGCAGTAAGACCTCATAAAACTTCAGAAGCTTTATTGGATTTCCTTTCCAGACATTAATCAAACAGATTTCTCTTAGTGAATGCAGAAATCCCTGAATCATTAAGTACCAAATCAATACTTGTGTGTTACAGACAAGAGTAAGAAATGAACCTGATTAGAAGACACTGAAATCTTGATTAACATTGTTTTAATATATACCAGGAAACAAAAATTTTACACAGACTATTGCCATGGTATTTGTCACTAAAAGTAAAACTCAGAAGAAAAGTATATATGCAACACTTTTCCTTTCAGATGCAATAATCATAAGGCCAGTCTAACCCCAAATGACAGGTTATTCCATGAGCAGTCCACAAAATGTCTCCAGAATCAGGCCCCAGGTGTCCTCTGCTACCAACTGTATTCTCTATACTTCTAAGTGCCTATTTTACATGACTAGGCTCAGAGGTCCAAATTAATGGGCTAAAGAAGATGGCATCATAAAAGCAGTCACAAAACGGAACAAATACAAATATTCCCTATGTTAGCACAAGTGACCTGCATTTATTAGTCCTTTATCAGGACAACCCTTAAACCCCCAAAGACAAGTCGATTAACGCTCCCTCTTGGATAACTTACACAGAACCCAACCACTTTACTACTTAATGTTCTAAATACAGTAAAGCTTGTTGCAGTTCACCAAAAGGTTGCAT